GGGGGCTGGGAGAATAGATAAAATAGAATGAAGGGGGAAAACATTAGCCAGAATGTTTAATATCTTGATCTAAGTCATGGTTGCATGAGCATATACATGTCAAAATCCATCAAACTGTAAACTGACATTTGTGCATTTTATTGTATGTACCTCAATATACAAAATAAAAATTACAAAAAAAATTGGGCAACAGTTTTGAACAGACACTCCTCTAAAAATGGAAAAAAAGCACATGAAAAGATGCTCACCTTGATTAGTTATTTGGAAAAAGGCAAATTAAGACCACAATAAAATATACTTCTGCATTTGTCTGTCTTCCAACTCATTTTCTTTAATATACTATACATTTCATTGCCTGTCTTTTGACCTTGCCATGTTGATCTGAAATGCTCTTCCTTCACTCCCTTCCCCTGCCAATTTCTATTGATCCTTTAAGACTTAACTGAGGGACCATTGATTCCAAGATCTGTGTCTGACCCCACCCTCACTCCCTGGGTCTCGATTTTTATCATATGTGATGATGGGCCCTCCATTTTACCTTTCATCTGTCAAATATACAGTGCCAACCTGCTTAATTACAGGCTTTAGCACTCTCAACTCTGATCTCCATGAAGTCACAGATTGTCTTTAAGGTTAAACCCCAGAAATTAGCACATTAAAACAATTGCTGAATGAGTGAATAAATTCATGTAAGAAAAGCCCTTTGCTCCTTCATGTAACCTCAGCCTCTTCTTGGCCCCCGGACCCAGTACCAGTCTTCAGACCTGCCAAGTCAGCCATTGCCATTCCCTAGTCATTTCCGGGTATACACACCCTTCAAAATTAAAATCCTTTTACCCTAATCAGAGAAAGGCTTGGTTTCTCTAGGTAACTTGCTCAGCATACCAGAGTTGGACATGAACAGCCTCTAGTTACCATCCTACGCCTTAAGTGTCCTCAAATGATAGTTTTGCGTCACTGACTACAGTTTCTCCTATGGAGATATACCATGTCAGACATGACACCATGAGTGCAGCTCCTACTGCTTGGTCCTTCTCTCTAAGACATCCTTCTGACACTATAGCGAAGGTCTGGTCCTGAAGGTGAAGCCCTTGGTCAGCCCAAACTGTAGCTTTCTCAGCATCAAAGGCACACTATGAATGGTGCTGTTTGCAAGACTTCCTCTAACGAGGTTAAAAGGGTTTTAATTTTGAAGGGTATGTATACCTGGAAATGACTAGGGAATGTCAACGGCTGTCTCGGCAGGTTTGAAAACTTGTATTGTGTCCAGAGGTCAAGCAGAGGCTGAGGTTACAATGGAAGAGCCAAGGTCTTGTCTTATATATGGCCTGAGATGAGCATGCACGCCTGCCCCTTGCTGCATCCTGCCAGACCCTGAGTTACAAAAGGTGGAAATGAAGGATGTATCAACATTGTGATAATACCTAATGTGTGTGTGTGGTTCTCAAAATGCCTTCATCATCTCAAGCCATTAGGTAAGATTAGTGTTGCTGAGGGCATTGGGACTGTGACTTATTATGACTGTATTTATAACACTGTACCGGATATATTAGAAGTTTGATAAATATGATTCATAAATGGATGGCTTTAAAATTCATGGCAAGTCTTTTTATTTCTCCACCAAACATGTCTTCCTTTAAGACTTGGCAGCAGAAGGCAGGTAAGCCCAGATTCAAGGTCTTCTGCTGGCAATGAACTTAAGGAAATTACAGAACGTAGGCTTGCTTTCCTCCTCTGTAAAAGAGGATGATGCTACCCAAGCTGCAGGAATAAACAGGACACTACACTGGAGTGTGAGGAATAAACAAGACAGTGGGAGGTGGAAGAATAGAGTAGATAATGGACATGAGCTAGTGGTATGTTGCACTTGCACCTGGCACATAGCAGGTACTTTCTAAGGAGGCTCTTTATCCACTCAACATGCCAAAGTGGGCAACTTTGTGTACTTCTGCTTTCACATCCTTTGCTGTCAGTATAAAAAAAGAAATTCTCCAGGGGAAAATAAAGCACACCTCGGGTTTGTTGCCTCAGCAATCTTTATGAAACATGTTGATTTGCTATCTCCCTGTCAAGGGAGAATAGAGAAGAGTATCTCAGAGCCATGTTGATGCTGCACCACTGAAAATAATGAGGTGGACATCTTGGCAATTACCTGAAGTAAAAATTTCTCCCTTATTGCAATTTGGTGATATTGTGCTAATTTGGAAACCCTGGATGTGGTTTATGACAAGAATTTTTGTTCCTGTTGAAGCCTGTGGTTAGAAACATCCCTTGGAAACATCCCATGGCCAGTTAATGTTGCTGCTTACTGTGCAGCCTGCCCTAGTCTATTCTTGGAGAGTTTCCTCCACAATGGAGGAGATACTCATTGGACTGCACAACCTGCTGGAGAAATGTGGGCCCAGCTTTCTGGGTGGACCGTTAGCTGAGAGTTGAACAGTGGACAGCTTTGGGCTCATCTGAATCAGAGACCTAGTGGCATTAGGCAAGAAGGAGGTATCTGTCAGGAAAGGTGGAGGCCTGAGCACCCAAAGCCCCAGTGGAATGAGGAAAGGGAAAATTTGTGTGATGTGCCACCTTGGAGAAAGGGACACAGCTGGTGAAACTGCCTTTACCTTTTCCATGGTCTCCACTTCTGGAAAGTTCTGGTTGTGAGACAGAAATCAATGCCAATGGGCAGGTCAGTAAAATGAGGATTGCTCAAGCAGAGCCCCATCCTGCAGTGTTTGGGGTCTTGGGAGGAGCCTGTTTCCAGAGCTCTGGCTTCAGTGGGGAGTTCTAGAGTCAGGACCAGCCCTTTGTGTTTCCTAGAGGAGGGCGGCACTGGGGGCATGGGAGAGAAGATTTTTCAGGATGGGAAAGAAGTCTCATGTAGAGAATACTGGGCAGGAGAATGGGAAGACATAAACATGTGAAGAACACAGTCAGGTCATGGAACCACTGCGTTTTATGTGAACACGTCAGGCTAAATGCCAACCAAACACATATAGATGTACATGCACGGAGCAGCCAGCAGCCAACAGTGACCAACACTTCAGTTTGCTTTGGTTGGCTGTACAAGAAGGGGTGTCACCCTTTTTCCTTCCAGTTCTAGCATTCTGACCCTGTGTGCAATTTAATACAAAAAGCGGTTTTGAAAGCTAGTCTTGCCCAACAATAGATTTTCCGGGGGGTGATGTTCATCCTTTGCATTTGTAATTACATAGTTTGTTTTGTGTGTTTGTGGTGCAAATACAGGACGGTGCCCGGACATGTGTGACTGCTCATAATTGTATAAGGTAGGTTGGGTACGGGCCTAAGACAGAGGTTAGAACACCTGTTCCAGGGAACCTGATGGGTTATCTGTACCTCGTCCTTTCTTAACAGCGTCCGTCCATACACAAAAGGGCTGATGGGCCGGGGCTGGTGCTGGGTAAGGCCAGTACGCGAGGCTGGGTGTTGAAAGGATGGGGCCGGCGGAAACAAGAATCAATGTATATTTACGGCGAGGCGGGGGCGGGGGCGGGGGTGCTCGGAGGCTGCAGGGCGGGGCAGCGCTAATGAGAGCTAGCCAGGCTCGTGGTTGGCTCGGGAATCTGGTACCCACAGAGGAGCAGGCAGGCAGGGAGGGGGTGCGGGCGGGAGGATAAAGCGCTCGAAGTGTGCTGCGTTACCGCGCATCAGGCGCCCTTGTTGGAGCCGGAATACGGTGCGTCTCTGACCCAGCCGGCCCTCTCCCCGCGCGCACACACACACTCTGAGAGCTGCGCGCTCCCCTCCGCCGCCGGCTCTGAGACCCGACCGCCGAGCGCTGCGAGATCCAGCGGGCGTCCCGGTCCCCCCGCAGGTCCCGGCTCCCAGCCCACCATGCGGGGCACGTGCGCCCCCCGACTCTAACCTGCGCGCTGACGGGAGCATGATCTGTGCCCAGGCCAGGGCTGCCACGGTAAGCGGGCGCCGGGCGCCCCCTTCCCCCTGCCCTGCTCGGGGAGGCTTCCCCGCAGTTCCCGAGGCCCGGCAGCGCCTTCCCTCCTCAGGGCTCCGGATCCACCCTTCTTCCCACCCTCTAGCTTCTCCCGCGAGGTTCAATTGTCAGCCTGGGGCGCGCCGCCGCCCGAGCCGAGCAGGCATTCCCGGGTGACGACCCCGGCTAGGGTGCAGCAGGCACACGGGCCCTCCTGAGGGGCACGGGGAGAAACAAAGAAGCCCCCAAGCGGGTTGGCGGCGCCTCCCCCGCCCCCCGGGCTCTCCCAGAGGCGAGGTGTGGGGAAGGGGCGGAGAGACCTACGTAATCCCCCTTCCCAGCCCACACCCACCTCTGCGAACCAAAGCTCTGGGTTTGGGCTTTGCCTCGAGCTCGCTTTTAGACAATTGTGTCCCACGCAAAGCCTGTGACCAGCCGAGGAGCGCCCACAGCCCCGCACAGCTCGCCGGTGGCCGCTGAGGGGCGCGTGGCAGGTCTGGCCCTTGCTCCCCTGGGTGGTGGCAGGCGGGAGGATACGCGGTGTGGGTGCTCCGCCAGCGCCTTCCTGTCCCCGACGCGCTGCGCCGCTCAGCCGGGCCTGCCACCTGAGTTTCAGCGGGAGCAGCCCGGTATGTCGCCTACCGTATTGCGACCTGCACACGGGCGGGTAGGGAGCCGCTGGGTAAAACGCGTCGGTCTGTGTTTGGCTGGCGGTGCGCCTCCTCCTACCCCTACATTCCCGGGCCGTGATAATGCAGCAAAACCGAGCTCTCCCACAATGTGGCCCCTCCATCCCGCGCTCTCCGGTGCCTTCTGATGGTTCTGCTGCTTTGACGTCCTGGCCACTTGGCGGTTTTGCGGAGTGTGGGTGCGTGGACTGTCTGGCTTGCACACGGAGGCTGGGCACCATAACTTCTTCCCTGCCGAATTTCAGCGCGTGGGGGGGAGCTGGCAGGGACACAGGCTGCAGAGAGCCTGGCTTCCTGTGGTTCCGGGCACAGCCGCCGGTCTGCATTGGGCTGACACCAGATAGCATGTGGGGATTTTCCTAGTTGCCGAAGAAGATATTTGACGTTGCTGTAGTTTTGTGCTTACTTCTCATGGGATCTGCAGTGGCGCAATTCTCCCCTTGTTTTTGCTTTTTATCTTTGAAAAGATAACTGGGCTGTGTTCAGCAGAAATGGATACAGGAAGAGCAGCACAGTCCAAAGACTAAGGGAGGCATCCTCTCTTCTTTTCCTGGGATTTGAACGCGATTCAGGAAGGGCAGATGCCCCACCTGAAAAGGCCAGCCTTTAAAGACCCCCGCAGTGTCGTGGTCCAAGGCGTCTCAAAGCAGGTGTCCAGATCTGCGTTTCTCATCAGCGGACTCGCTCCGGCTGTAGCAATTACGGTAATTCGTTCTAGATCGGGGATTCATTTTGAAAATGTGGGTTTTCCACTAAGAAGGGATTAGAGTCCACATGCCCACTTCGGTATGGATGTGTGTGCCTGCTTGGTAGAGAAATAAGAGTGTGGCAGGATTCCCTGTGGTCCCTTCCCCGTTTGCTGTCTCCTTTAGAATGTGGCATTGGGAAGACATAGCACTATTTTACTTTCTAGACCTACAGGCAAGTTGGACTTTATCGAGTGTTTCATTTAATAAATCATGTTCTGATTTATTCTGGAATCCGAATCTAGTGCAGTTGGCAGTTTTGTGAAAGGGCAGTTCCCTTTTTGTCTCTGGTAGTTATTTCACGAAGGCAAATTGCCTGAGTTTTGTTCAGATTGTGGCATTCTTGACTTGGTTGGGAGACCACATCCTGAGCCAGCCTGTCAGTGTATCAGCGCATCATCAGTCAGTATAGAGGGCTACTGCAGCTGCTGTGATCTGTGTAGGTAGCATCATTTGATTGCCTTTAAACTTCTGGCTTCAAAAGATGGATGTTTTAAAAGATCACTTTAAGCTTTACCTTCTATGATGCTTGCAGAAGATATGATTATCAATATCGGAAATGCTAAGAGGCCAGATGTGGTCATGGGAAGACAAGCCTCCACCATCAACTTCCTTATCTGTAAAGTGAGGAAGCTGGACGAGCAGATGGCCCTGGTTCTTTCCAGGGCCAACATCCTGTAATAATGGTAGAGGCCTAAGAAAAGTTACCCAGGTAGCAAGGTCACTAATTTTTAATAATAGTCCAAATTATATAAACAAACTAGGGACTGACTACAGAATTTTGGCTTATTTTTTACACCTCACAATTTTTTAAAAATAGAAATTGAAAAAATGTCTAAATGTAATGCGCCAACTCAAACAGGTCTTTTTTCCTTTGTCCACTAGAGCAAGAGATTTGGTGGGGTCGGGGGGAGGACAGACAAGAATGTTAAATTAATTGGGTGACAGATTTTCTCCCCACTTGTTGATTAGTGATCTATTCCAGCCTGGCTTTTTGTGGATAAGGGAGAATATAGTGTATTTCCTTTTTCTAAAAGGACTGATTTTATTTGTTTTTTTAGGAAAGACTCAAGGTAGCTGTTTCATCCTACGCAGCAATTGGCAAGAGCCTCCACTAACTTTCCCTGACATATTTTTTTTCCCTTGGTTATTTATTTATTTATTTATTTATTTATTTATTTATTTATTTATTTATTTATTTATTTATTTTGAAGTATAGTTGATCTACAATCCCTGATAGAATTTGGTATTGTTCATAAAACTTGCTAGCACTACTGTTTGTTATAAAAATGAGTGAGGCAACAATTACTCTAAACAGGCAAATGAAGTGTTTTCATGTGCTTATAGTAATGTTTACAGTTTAGGAATAGTGTAGGCATTGGGTCATTGATTTATGCTTAGCCACTCAATTTCCCACTGTAAGGTGCTCATTTCTTTTTTTAAAGTTACAACCAAACAACATCCTGGAATACAAGGTACCTGCAATTCTTCTCTCGTTTTCCCACACCCTTTGCTTTCATAACATAGGCAGCACTTATATTACAGTCACATGAGTCATGAAGGGGCCACAGCCCCCCTATGTCTGCAACACATTGTGAGCGTCTTGAGGACAAGGATATTAAGTTCATCTCAGCTCTCCATCACCTCACACTTTGCTTGGGACAGGGTATGGCCTCAGGAACACTGACTGAGTGGATTTCAGGTCATGAAAATACCCTCTCCTTGTTTAGGCAGGAGGTAGGAGGGAATTCTGCCCTTCATGAGTCAGGTGTGGGGGGGCAAAGCAGAGAGGTTATGTAAGCCGCTGAAGGGAGCCGGTGAGCCGGGACTCAAGTCCAGGCCTTCCACCAAACTGCCCCCAAGAGAGGCTCCACCCCACCCTCAGGGGAAAACCAGGTAGACCACAAGTTCAGATGCTGCAGGGCCAGGCTCTTCAGTTTGTACCTGAATGACCTGGATTGTCCGTTTAGACAAAATTGATCTGCTAGCCAGCTGCCTAGTCTGTCTTGCTGGGGCCTTAGAAGAAAGCCGGTTTGGCCCAAGCTCTCTGACCTCTAGCCTGCACTTAGAATCAGTGAGCACCCCTCTGGCTTCCTTCTCTCCAAGTCTTGGTTCCGCCACACACAGGTTGCCAGGATGATGGACATGTCTCGGGAATGCCACGCAGTATTTGTCCAGATTGTATTTAACCACTCTGAGCCCTGCTTCTGAAGTGACCCAGCAGTTAGACCAGAGACAATCACCATTCCCAGGCCAGCCCACACTGACCTCGTCTCCCTGTTGGCAGATTTCTGTGCTAACAGGTGTGATTTACAAACAGACCGTCTCCTCCTTCCTTTCCATTCCAAGAAGCAGGACAGGTTAACTTTAGGAAACCAGAAAGTTCAACGTCCATGTGCCCTTTCTGCCTTGAAGCCTTGGGCATGTTGTAGTTTTTTTACAGTAAACGGTGTAAAATATTAAGTGTGGCTTTTTTTCCTGTCACTTTTCCTCTCTGAGGTTTCCTCTCCCTCCTTTAAAAGTAGGGAGCTGACAAAGATCACTTTTAATGGTATGATTCCATGACTGTTTTTATTGGTTTAGTCAGTTGAACAAATTGGAGGGCAAAAAGTATTGGTGATACTTTAACTTTGCAATATATGGTACAAATACTTAAGGTTGTATGTGTCAAACCTCCAGGCTCTCTAATAATCCCTTTGAGCCCTCTGTTAATGCTATTTTCTATAAATACCTATAGTAAATCTTTACTAGTTGTTAATCTACATTTACTATATTAAAGGGAAAGGTTTATGGCACTTCCTGTTCCCAAAGGGACAATCTCTAACTCCTTTATAAAATGGTTAGGATTTGAGAATTTGATAGTCAGGGTTCCAAGACCTATAATATAGTAAAGCATGTTCACCCTCACGGCTGAGTGTTTCACAGCTGAATAACTCCAGCAGTCAAAAGGGTTTTCTGAGATTCACCCAGCAGTGTCCCTGTCCATCTTTTGCGCTTCTCATTTTGCTCCTGCTTTTATTTTGCCCCTTCTTTAGCTCCACCACCATCCTGTCACACCCACAGAATATATGCCACTAGTTGCACTGCCCACACCCCACCCCTGCCTCACCAAATGTAGGAGGGGGCCTCCTAACCCTCCTGCATGTCTCAGCTTTTCCTCTTCCTTCACAAGCATTGCTCCTCAAGTGAAGGTAGAAGGAGGGTCTGGAGGCACGCTGGTTTGCCTGATGGTTTTGTTGGTAGGAGATGTGTACTTCTCACAGACTTTCTGACCACCAGGTATCTGTGTCTTGAAGCATCCTTAAATGTATCAGGAAACAAAGCAGTAGTGTAGGTGCCTTATGCATCCCATAGCATAATGTTTGGATGTGTGGGCCCTAGGATGTGGTTGCCATGTTCTGTGGCAGGAGCAGTGTAGGGAAATAGGTAGCCATTGCGGGATGAGAATAATGTCACTGCTTATTGGCAAGATATGACAGAGCACCAAGCTCCCAGGCCACTGGAAAAAAACATATGGCTTCCCATAGCAACAGTGAGGGATGCTCTTCACATTATTAGTTCAGAGCCTACACTTTTCCTGATTTATTGGTCTGACTTGTGATGCACACAGAAGACTGAAAAATAAGGATATAGTGTGCACACAGGTCTCCTGGTGTTATCACGTAATTATTTCATTGTGGCATTTTCTGGAGAATTCAGTGGATGGAATTTCAGCCGGTACTGGGGGCGAAGGGAGGTGGGGAGAGCTGGAAAAGGACGCCATCTGTGCCCATGATGACGAATGCAATCATACAGACTTCATTCAGGGTCCCTTTTATATATTTAGTGGAACAGATTTTCCCTTTCACACTTTCTAGATCTATTTGTATTGCACAGATGTCAGGGAAATATCATGTGTGTGAAAGGGGGAAAAAAAGATCAAAATTCATATCCATGGCCAGGGATTGTAATTCAATCACTTTGTCCTTAAACTGACACCCATTTAACTTTCACAAACGTTCCCTGTTTTTGCTTTCAGGGTTTAAACCACAGCAGTTTGAAAAACAGAAATCACAGACCTACACATTATTGAAATTCCAATGTTCATGTAGAGGTGGGGGGAGACGGGGACTCGGAAACTACATACCGCAGCCCTTGCTGGCTGTCCATCCGAAGCTAAGGGAACCCATCAGTCATTGTCCTGCAACTCACTGAGCAGCTGAAAAACTATGGGACACAATCAATAGACTTGTCTTTAAAGGGATTTCTCTTTTTCTGTAGTTTTTCCTAATTTGTTTTACCATCAAAATTTAAAACTATGTAACATTTTTTCCCCTCTATTTCGAGCTTAAGTTATTTTTGTGTAAGTGAGCTTTCTGAAGTTGAGAAAAAATAGTTTTGAGGTTTTTGTGGGCATTCTCTCCCCAGTCCTCACTAACTCAGCATTGCTTCTGTCCAGGAGCAGGTATTGGACCTGCATGTACAGGGGATGCAGGGAAGCAAACAATGTCACACAAACACGCTGCAGTATGTTACACTTTACAGATCCCTCCCCTGACCCCGTGCCCCCTACCATCAATGCTTCGAGTTCCTTCTTAGAACATGTCTGGGAAACATTGTCTACAGCCTATAAAGACACATTTTATTGGGTAATGTTTGATTTAGATAAATAATACATTTTATATATATGCAATTATGAAGAAAATAAAATGAATGCCTGCCACGCAGCCTGAGACCACTGTCTGACAGCTCATTTGAAGCCTGCTTTGTGCTCCTGCATCTCTCCTCCCACCTGTCTGGAGAGGACCCCAACTAGGCTCCTGTCCCCATGCCTACATTCCACTGTTCCCCTGATGGCCCCCAGTGGCCTCTGCCTCTACAAGTCCAAGTCAGTTTCTCTATCCCAATGCTGTTATCTCTCAGCAGCGTTTCAGACTGCCGGCCACTCCCTCTTTCTCTAGCTCCTTGCTTTGGGACAC